CTTCAGTAACTTTTGGGTGAAATTGGAATTTAATTTTAATTTGTTCACATGCTAGCTAGTTGCCCCTGTGTTTACTGAGTAATTATCTCTTCCCCATTGATTTCAAATGCAATTTTATCATATATCGATTGTGTGCTTCTACATACACACATGACATACATACATGTTTATCAATGCTCTTCCATTGGTTTGTCTTCTTGCACACATACCATACATTTTAGTTACTATACAGTAGTCCCCTGTTATCCATGGGGGATAATTTCCAAGATCCTTGGTGGATGCCTGAAACTGCAGATAACACCGAACCCTATTTATGCTGTTTTATCTTAGACATGCATACCCTTTCACCTAAAGGAAGCACTTTACAGCTCCTCTTTGGCATATCTAAATTGCTAGCATCACTGATCTTGAGCTTTTGAGCCATTATTAAGTAAAATAAATATTACTTACACACTAGTACTGTAATACAGGACAGATGACCGGATAACCAAGATGGTGGCTATTACGTGACCAACGGGTCGTGAGCTTATACAGTGTGAATACGCTAGACAAAGGAATGGTTCACGTCCTAGGCAGCCATGAGATCTCATCACACTACTCGGAATGGCACACAACTTAAAACTTACCAGTTTTATTTTTGGAGTTTTCCACTTAATATTTTTGGACAATTGAAACTACAGAAAGCAAAGCCATGGATAAAGGGGTACCTTTATATCAGACAGTGGCAAGCTATAGCCCTTGGACCAAATCTGGCTCACCACCTAGTGTTTTATAAAGTTTTATTGGAACACAGCCATACTCATTTGTTTGTGTATTGTTTATGGTTGCTTTTTATCTACAATGGCAAAGTAATTGCACCCGAGAGCATATAGCCCAGAAAGTCCAATTATTATTATTTTTTAAAATATATTTTTATTGATTTTTTACAGAGAGAAAGAGAGAGGGACAGAGAGTTAGAAACATCAATGAGAGAGAATCATTGATCAGCTGCCTCCTGCACACCCCCCACTGAGGATGTGCTCACAACCAAGGTACATGCCCTTGATCAGAATCGAACCCAGAACCCTTCAGTCTGCAGGCCGATGCTCTATCTACTGAGCCAAACCGGTTTCGGCGCAAAGTCCAATTATTATTGATCTGACCCTCTATATAGGGTTTAACAACCTCTGCTTTAACCTATATATTGATATCTGATAGGGCAAGTTCTTCTGCCAAACTGTCTGACTCCTTCCCTTTTCCCACCTCTTTCTTGGGGTGGGGAACTGGGAGGCACAAAGAATAGGAATTTGATTGCATTTAATTTGTAGGTCAGTAAAGGTAGATATGTTTGATTTACAATACTGGGTTATTCCATTTCAAGAATATTATATCTCTACATTTATGTATTTTAGCAAACTTTCATTGTTTCTTCATTTGACTTTATATATGTAAGTTTATTCCTACATGTATTATTGCTTTTTGTTGCTGTTATAATTGAGATCACCTCCTAGCTGTATCTTATAAGTGACTATGTGCAGGCCAGGCTGAGGGACCCCACTGGTGCACGATCGGGACTGGGGAGGGATGCAGGAGGTTGGCCAGCTGGGGAGAGACCAGGGGAGGACGCCAGGGTGGTGCTCAGTCCTGGTCAGCGGGACCCCATGACCCCAGCAGCAAACTAACCTATTGATCAGAACGTCTGCCCCCTAGTGGTTAGTGCATGTTAATAGCGACTGGTCGACTGCCTGCCCCTTGGTGGTCAGTGCATGTTATAGTGAGCAGTTGAGTGGCCTTAAAATATCTTTTAGCATATTATGCTATGATTGATTGAACCGTTGACCCGACACTTAGCATATTACACTTTTATTATATAGGATAGATCACAGCAAACGATAATAAAAATAAGCAAACAAGCACCAGAAACTTTATGCCCAGACAGCCTTTGTTGGATATTTTTAAAATACCCAGAAAATAATTTAGGCAAGCTATTTATCAAGCAGACTGTGCCTTTTTACAGAGTCATTTGTTGCTTTTAATACAGAATATAGAGTTTGCTTGTCACACAGGAGAGTCAAGCCCAGTCACTGCTTTCCCGTGGAGAGCCATTTGATATGGAATAAAGTTGGTTTAGCCTAGGATTATCCCTCGAAATAGAAATATGAGCCGGAGATTTTTATGAATCAGTTAGTGCTTTCCTAAGTATGTTCTCTGTAAAGAATTTGCTCTCTATCCTTAATATCTGTTCCTTCAGGATATGAAATCTGTTTTAGATTTTAAGGTCTATTACTTGCCCTGAGCACTGAACAAATGAACCATAAATTTGATATGTGTTAATCTTTGTGGATTTATTTTTTAATACCATTTTTGTCTTTCTTCCTTGAATTTGTGTATCCTTCTTTATGAAACTAAAGAAAATTTCTTTATATTGCTGGTTCCTTTTGGTGTGTATGTGTGTGTGTGTGTGTGTGTGTGTGTGTGTGTGTGTGTGAAGTGATGACAAGGTGTTGATGGTAGTTGACATCTGATAGGGAAGTGGAGAAGTGCTGACATATATTTTGTGATTTGGGAAATGAACCTTGTTACTCTCCTTGCCTATAAAGTGAAACTTCATGCACAGATCCTGGTGTTACTTTGCTCCTGTATGTTTTTCCCACTGTTGTGGAGATTATCTTTGACTGTCATTCTGAACATCATGATATGTGAATATGGCAATGCCACCAAAGCCGTGGAGATGTACCAGGCCATGTGCCTCATTCACAGAGGAGAGAGCACCAACTTTGGGGTTTCTGAGATGGTGCTTTATTGGACCTATGGGAATGAGAGACCATTTTAGATAGCTGTGGGGTGTGGAAAATGGCATAAACAAATATAGTGGTAATTTATATCTTTTGTTGAGCTCTTGGTATGGTCCAGGCTTTGTAATGAATGTCTGTCACACCTAAGCTTTGTAACCTCATTTTACAGACAAGGACATCGAAATTTAGGTTAAATAACTGGTAGACCTAAGATTCAAATAAGCTGTCAGAGTCCAAAGAGATGTACTTAAGCACAGTAGTATTTGGGTAGGAACTGTGTGTGTGTGTATGTTTACATGTATCTGTGTGTATGTGTAGAAGGATTTAGCTATTTTAAGTTCAAGACGATAATGGAATGTATCACTTGTCTTCCTATTTTTAAATTGGGAGTGTAAAAAAAGGGGTTTGGCTCAATAGTAGATGCAGGGGGAGGGGGTGGTGTTTGATTAAGCTCCCCGTTGCCTCTTGCAGGCCGGGAGAGAGCTGTTGTTTCTAGCTTTAGTGATCTCAATCCATGGTTATTAAATATAAGCATAAGTAAGTAAATATACACACATACATATACATACACCCATACCCCAAATATTATACTTTAAAACTTCTCTGTGCAATGCACTAAGATGGAGAAGGTTCTGTGCCACATTATGTCACCGTTTGCTTTAAATATGGTGAAGCTATTTAGATGCCAAACAATTAACACTTGTCTATATTGAAACCCATTTAGAGCCTGAGGAGGCCGTGCTCTGGTTGTCTCTCAGCCAAAAACTCCTGTGGAGCATTCTCACTGGCTGTGACTGCAGTGTTAGGTGTTTGGCTGTGGCCAGGTGGGCCAGAGCAGTACATGTACGTGTAGCATCCATGTATGGCCGGCTGCTCCTGACAATTGAGTGTGAATGTCAGGGCTCTGCTGCCTGCTGGCCCCTTTGCCCTGTTAGGCTGGCCAAGACCTGGATTCCTGCCATGATTTAGAGAAGAAAGTAAAGCTTTCTAAATACTGGCAGGGAAATCAGCCTGCTTTCCAGATTCAAAGCAGCTGCCTAGAGTCCAGTCCCCCTGCCCAGACAATTGTATTGTAGTCTTCCCACAGGTTTGTTCTTGACATCCGATACATGTCCCGAGTAAAATGTGGTTGATAAAAAATTAAGGCTACACTTAGTAGGGTGATATTTTTTCTTTTTTATGAGAATGGCATAATTTGGAGAGTTGCAGTATTTTTTCAAGGTTATTTTCAAGACTACTAACCTTTATGATAGAAAAGACAAGCAACTAATGTAAATCTTGATATTTTGTGAAAATACATCTGTTGATGCTTATTCAAATATGAAATTATTTATAGACTTTTAACTCATTTTTATATGTATGCAAGCATAATTTATAAAAATCATTTGACATTAGAAAGTTAAAAGCCTAACGGTTTAACTGAAGTTTTATGTTGTGCAGGATTCCAAGATGGAGCAATTTAATTCTTCTTGTATGTCTGACTTAGAGTGTAATTTTGCAACTGTTGGATTCAGTAGCTGATGCATTCTTTGCTTTGGCTGTGTTTCTCTGAGTGTGATTTCTGTTTCTGTGTTTCTGTCTCTGTGGCACATTGAATATTGTGGAACAAGTAACCATAGATTCCATTACAGGGCCCAGAGTTTGCAGGATAATTCTTTGGTTTGTCTGTGTTTGACTAACAGGAGGGGGAGGGGCTTAGATTCCTTTTTTTTTTTTTGCTTTCCCTGTTGTATTAGAGCCAAGAAAAGAAATATATTGCAAGAGCTCTTGAATGGTTGAGATGCTTTTCTATTATTTTCTTGTTAGGTGCTTGATATTTTGCTAGTAATTCTGGGAAGAGAAAAGGAAAGAGAAAGTGAACGTTTCATTTGAGATCTGTTTTCTATTTGTATAACTTATTTAATTTGCTAACATTGTTGATATTTTTCTATTAAGTTTAAGTTCTTTACTGGTAGGATTTTATCACTATTGAAGTATTTTGTTTTACCTTACAATTCACATGAAAATTTCATGAACATTGGTTGGGAACTTAACTTTATTATCAGACTATTTCTAGGAGATAGGCCAGTAGTTGCATGTTGTATTTTACTTAATAAGTATCAAGTTAATGGAGATTCAGTTGTTTCAAAACATTTGTTTATCATTACATCTGAGCTTTCTCCTTTTTATAGTCTTTGCAGTGTGGGAAATAAATGACACTGAATTTTCCTCTTTTTCTTTTTAAAGACTTTCAGCTGAATTCTCATCTCTCAACACTGGCAAATATTCATAAGATCTACCACACCCTTAATAAGCTAGTAAGTCAATCTTTTAATGACAAAACTACACAACTGTTTAAATAGTTGTTTTAACTGTAGTTGATAAAAAAAAATTAGGTTATGGATATTAAGATATCAGCTATTTGTGAAAATAGTGAATTTTAAAACTTGTTGTGATGGTGTGATTTCTTGGTAATAGTGAACATATTTCTTGCAGAATCTAACCGAAGACGTTGGTCAAGACGATCACCAAACAGGTATCTGTAAATGTGAATATTCCTTAATTTTAAAATAGCCTTCCTAATATAAAGTTACGAAGGATAAATACTAGTTGGGTATGCTCAGCATTGTCATACATTCCGTTAACAAGTTGCTACTTGGTTGAGGATTTTTCCAGTGTGTGTGAGCAGCCATGTTACAGTTCCTTCTCAGTGGGAGGGAAATCTGTTCTGGGGCTTGGCTAAGACACTCTTCTTCTGGCCCTTTTAAGGGGATGAGGATTCTCCCTAGTGGTTTCAAGATGTCATTTCTCTACTGAAATATTTTATTTTACACTGAAAAATCACTACAGCAATATAGTTTGAAAGGTATTCTATAAATGTTTGTTGAGATAAAATGATTTGATAGGTAGGTAGGGAGTATGTGTGTGTTGAATAGGTCCTAAGGATTTATGAATAGGAAAGTTGAAACTTGACTATTCCCTAGCCCTGTTGTGTGGGCTTGTTTAAACAGATTGCTGAGTTCCACCCCCTGTTTCTGATCCTGTAGATTGGGGTGGGGCCTCAGAGTTTGCATATCCGACAGGCTCCCAGAAGATGCCGATGCAGGAGATCACACTTTGTGAGAACCACTTTTCCAAGTCATAAAGTTTAGAGCTTACACTTGTAGTTTCTAAAACTTCCAGCACAAATGAAAGTATATTTAAAAAATATTTGAGAATTACCACAATGATGCATGACTATATGGTTGTTGGAGAATTTTTGAATAGCCTAAAAGTAAATTTAGAAGTAAAAAGTGACAGTCCTCTCACATCTCCCAATCCAGCCTTCTCCCAGTTTAATGTTTGTTCTTTCAGACATATTTATACATGCATATACTTTTATAGTAGTGGTTTTTTAAATTTGGCATCAATGAGATCAGACTGTACAGCACAGTATCATTCTTTTTTCATTTAGCAATTTGTCTTTGATGCTGTTGGGATTTAGAACTCTCCCCTTCCTCCCCTCCAAATTGGTTCAGAATCCATTGAAAATTAGGTGCAAGATGGAGATTGAAGTAACAAGTTTGTTGGAAGTAACAAGCTTAAGTTGTGCAGCAAAAAAATGCAGAGGCTTTTCAGTATTTATATTCCTAAATTATATACTAGTCTTACATCAGTTACCACCACAACAAGATAAGCAGAGGCCAGCATTCCCCTCTTTTCCTCTCTAAACCCCGCGGTGACAGTGGAAGGGGCGGGGCCTCTGTTGGCAGGCCCATCTGAAAGGGGCTCAGCAGGGCTGGGCCCCTCTGGTCAGTTCCTCACCTCTGGATCGCCAGTGAGGTCACACACTCCTCCTTCCTGGGAAGGAGGGAGACGGGCAGAGACTGCGGGAGTGTTCTAGAAGGCAGGCCAGAGTGTTCCTTTGTTTCAATAAGTACAAATCAATTCAAAGACTGTCAAAAGCAATTTTCTTAATAATTGAAAAGCAATGTATGCACATGGTTTTAAAAGAAATGTCGAAAAGGTATAAAACAAAAAAAGGTTTCTGTTGCATTTCATTACCCCATTTTTCATCCCCACCACTACTACATTCTTGACTCTCTAGAAGTAACTCCTACATTCTTATATTTGTTTCTCAGATGGTGATGATGATATTCATATTTTTTTTTACCCCAAATAACAAGTGTATATCTCTATGTGTCTCTTGTCTTTTGTAATTCAGTATATCTTGAAGATATACTGTAGCACCTTTGTAAAGCTTTTGCTTTATTTTTTTAATGCTTAGTTTTCTAATTTATGGATATATCATGATATGTTTCTATTGATACACATGTTCAACCTTTAGCTAGGACCAGTAATGCTGAAATAAAAATTTCAGGGCCAATTTTAAGAGTTAAGAGAAAAAGCACACTTCTCTCCTGTTTTGGGACAGTATGTTGGTAGGCTTTGGGGATATTGTTAAACTTAAGAGTTAGTGTAGTTTTGATTTTTAAAACAACTTTGTCTTTGTAAAGTCTTTGGGTTGTCTACCTTTTGCTAAGGTAATAAAACCTCTAAGTTCTGAGTCTTGTACATTATATAGTTAACTTTGAACTTTGGATTAAAATGAGTGCTGTTACTAAAGTCATTTCACATTTACATATTTAATCTGAATATGGCAATTTAATAACTGTAAGTTAAAATTAGGAAAATGAAAATGGACAATGTATTAACCGCATGCCTTGTCTCTCGCCCAGTGGGCATAGTGGATATGTCTGATGTTTGATGTATGGCATGCTGGTGCAGTGCCTGGTACCTCGTAGGTGCCTGTCAATATCAGTTAGTGTTAGTAATTTCTTAGAGTTGCCAGTTTCATTAACATTTCTCCATCTGGTTATAGCATCACTTGTGATTACCGTACCTATAATGACTGTACTTTAAAAATGAAATGACATAAATTCTATACTGTTTGGAAATCTGAGAAAGTTAACTACTGTAATGTCTGTTCGAATCTCTTGGCCCAGCAATAGTCTGAGCAGTAGCTGTAACAACTGTAGGTGGAAGAGCCAAACTCTTACGTGCAAAAGAGGCTAGCATCTCCCTGCTCTGACTCCTCTGCCACTTCTCTTTGGTGCTTTCACTCTTTCTCCCACCAGAAAAATAAAAGACAGACAGAGTTAATGTTGGAGAATTAGCCCAAAATACTGGGAAAGAGAAAAAAGGCAGAGGACAAAAATGGTGAAGGAAGAGAATACCTGTCAGAATCAATATTATTTAGAGGGTAAAAATTGCTCATTTAGACACTAATAGTTTTACTCAAGCAAGCAAGTAGTTCAACAATTTGTTCAAGAAAATGGAATAAAATATTAGGTACTGGTAAGGTATCTAAAAATGCAATCCATTTATCAGTTCAAATTACTATATCTTTGTGACATTGTTCAGTCAAAAGTGAGGTTGAAATAGCTATTTAAAAAGTATTGAAGTGGCACAGTGAACCATGTAAAATGTTGTTATGTGAAAAAAGCTCTATGATACAAGTCACTAAAATGAAAAATTAAACAGTAAGATTTTTATATTGAAACATGAATTTATACTATTTGGGAAATTCAGAAAAATACTCTAATTTTATAGACCTTTTATTTGGAGATGACTAGAAATTTGGCACATAATTTTACGTGTTTCACAGGAAATGAATTTTAAACAGGACTTTTTTTTTTTTTTATTTGAGGCTCACAAGTGAAAAGATTAAAAAAAAAAAAAAAAAAAAAAAGAGCCGAAACCGGTTTGGCTCAGTGGATAGAGTATCGGCCTAGGGACTGAAGGGTCCCAGGTTCTATTCCAGTCAAGGGTGTCAACCTTGGTTGCAGGCACATCCCCAGTAGGGGGTGTGCAGGAGGCAGCTGATCGATGATTCTCTCTCATCGATGTTACTAACTCTCTATCCCTCTACCTTCCTCTCTGTAAAAATAAATAAATAAAAACATATAAGAGAGAGAGACAGACAGACAGACAGACAGACAGTGGAGTAACTACTTAGCTACCATTTATTGAAACTAACATGCTTAGTTAAACTATTATCATAACAATAAGCTGGGTAGTAAACACCAAAGGGCCTTTGGTTTAATGCAAGTAAATTCAAGTTGCTCTTTAAAATTAATTTCTTGGACCAAATATTAGGATAGATCTGTTGGAAAAAGTTGACAGTATTCCTAATTTTTTAATGTGGAAAGAATGGCTATATTCATTCAGTACCTGATTTATTTGAAATAAAGTTGGTTAATAGAAGAATTTATTTGTTCTCTTTGAACACTGAATCAAAAGGAAATAAACTTGAACTCAGATTATAACCCTTGAGTGAAAAATATGAGCAATTTATATTGCCTTCCTAAGGATCATATAATAGGAAAGCATGAAGAGCTTCTAATGATGGGAGAGTTGGGAGGGTTTTCACTCCCTCTTCATATAATACAGAAATAGTTAGACTGGACACCAGAATATCAATCAAGATAGTAATATTAAGGGGCCTGACTCATAATTTGGGATTAGGAGTTGGGATTATTCTTCTCGTCTTTCTCGTTCTTTATTATTACGAAGAGGCTTTCTTCTTTTATAAGTTTCTGCCAGACATTTCTTTCCAGCTTTAAGGCAGCTCCCTAAAATCTTTTTACCACTGCCTTTGCTTGGTGATTGTCAGGTAATGAAAATTTGTAGCTCTGATAATTTCAAATGAATTTCTGGGTTTCTTTTTAAAAAATATATATATATTTTATTGACTTTTTACAGAGAGGAAGAGAGGGACAGAGAGCCAGAAACATCGATGAGAGAGACACATCGATCAGCTGCCTTCTGCACACCCCCCACTGGGGATGCACCCGCAACCACAGTACATGGCCTTGACCGGAATCGAACCGGGATCATTCAGTCTGCAGGCCAACGCTCTATCCACTGAGCCAAACCGGTTTCTGGGTTTCTTAAAGTTTGCTAGTAAATTGCTTTTATTTGAAATGTCAGCCTTAATATTTTGCCTCTGCCTGTAATGTCAGATTGTACTTAAGTAGATACTTCAAAGGGTTAAAATAGTTCATTATTTAAAGAAGATAAACATCCCATAGCATTCTTCATTTGTTTATTAAACTTTTTAAAGTTTAAAGACAGTTTAATTGAAATAGATTGTGATGCAAGTTCTGAGACAATAAAGTTTAAATTGACATAAATAAATACAAATTTGTAAAACATTCACTTAGATTTAAGTATTTATATTATAAACAAACATCACAGTTTTATTTTAAGATGCAAACAATCTAGAATATATGTTTTAAAACATCTTACCTGCCAAGAAACTTAAAGTCAAGTGCTTGTTTTTATGAGAAATGGGAAAAAATCTGAAATTATGGTTTATTATCTATTTATAAGTGTTTTAATTCTCTGGAAATGCACTGGTTTTTTTGTGTTTTTTTTTTTTTTTTAAGCAAAATTTAATTTACACATGTTTTAGGAACATTCAACAAACACTGAGAGTCTGCTGTAGGACTCAGTACATGTATCTCATTATTACTGCAGTAAGATACTTTATCAGCTGTTGTGTGTGCACAGGTGACCCAAACCGGGACCCTGCAAACCAAGGTGTACCTTCGTACATGCAAGCAGGATCCTTAAACATATGTATTGCCTAGTACCTGGCACTGGCACCCCAATCAGGCTGTAGTCTTGTTTTATAATGGAATAGTGCTTTTGACTGGTATTTTCTTGAAGCATGTTATCCTGGTAACTTAGCACAATTGTGGAAGCCCAAGTATAAACTGGGATTTAGTTAGGACTAAATCCCTGACCACAGGGTTGTGACTATTAGCTACTGACATGCTCTCCTTGCCTTTCCAATAGCTTTCTAGAAAGAGTTGTCCACATTCACTTGTCCCTCACTTCACATCCTTTCCCAGCTCACTGCAATTTAGCCTTCACCATCACCAACAAATTACTACTGGACTTCATTGCTGAATGCAGTGGGTGCCTTTACTGCTTCTTGGGCTGACCTTGGTGTGCAGTTGACCACTCGTTGAAACACTCTCTTTTCTTACGGTTTCTAGGACATTATCTTCTCCTAGTTTTTATCCTGCCCAGATTTTTACCTTCTTTTTCACCCCTTGATTTTCCACACTTCCCAGAGCTCTGTCCTTAGTTCTCTCTGCTTCTCAGCCTCTGCTCTTAAGGTTTAGTGGAAGTGGTAACAAGTGGTGTTGGAGACCTTGGGCTTTGCTGCTGAGAGCTTGGGTTTGACCTTTGACTTCACCTACTGCTTTTCATCTGTCATCTGATCTCTGGTTCAGTTTCTTCATTTGTAAAAATGGGCACGCTAACAAATTCCTGCATTGTAGGGTTATGAGGATCCACTGAGCACTGAGGTCTAGCCTGAGACCACGGGCATACCTCATTATATCACTTGGAATATATTTCTTTATATCCCCACCCTCTGTCTACACACAATGTTTGGAACCTATTGAATAGATGTATACCGCAGTCCTCATTCTTATTTTTTAAAATCTATAATAATAAAATCATAATATGTTAATTAGACCAGATAGCTGAATGACCTTCCAAACGTCATTCTGGACAACCTTCTGGATGAAGCTGTGGCAGCGGGGACTGAGGCAGAGGCAGTTATGGGCGATCAGGCAAGCAGGCGAGTACTTCAGGGTGATCAGGCAGGCAGGCGACTGGTTAGGGGAGATCAGGCAGGCAGGAGAGTGGTTAGGGGTTAGGTTCTCTTATATGTTATCATAACAATAAGCTGGGTAGTAAACACCAAAGGGCCTTTGGTTTAATGCAAGTAAATTCAAGTTGCTCTTTAAAATTAATTTCTTGGACCAAATATTAGGATAGATCTGTTGGAAAAAGTTGACAGTATTCCTAATTTTTTAATGTGGAAAGAATGGCTATATTCATTCAGTACCTGATTTATTCATTCATTAACTGCAGATCATTCAAACCAGCACCCCTTGGTTCTTGTCCTCTTGGGTCACTGAGAGCCCAGGGCCTCTACCATTGGGCTAGTGGAATGAGTAAGATTTGTGGTGCAGAATTGACACTTAGCACTTCTAAGACTGTTACAAGTACTTGGATACCTGAGTCTTAGTTTTTCTATCTGTCAAGTAGAGATAATTACCTTTGCCTTGCTGTCATTCAGGGTTATTGACATAATATATCTGTTAGCAATTGTGCCAAGATGGAGTATTTTAATCTATATATATAAAAGCCTAAGTGACCGAACAACCAGATGACTGGTTGACTGGTCGTTATGATGCGCACTGACCACCAGGGGCAGATGCTCAACGCTGGTGGTCAGTGCATTCCCACCAACCTCTTGTGGCTGGCCAACCTCCTGTGGTCCCTCCCTCCGGCCAGCCAACCTCCCGCAGCCCTGATGGGCCCCAGTTGCTGGCCGGGCTGAGGGACCCCACCCATGCATAAATTTATGCACCAGGCCTCTAGTTATTTTATAAGTTATAATGTTTAAGACAGTCTGAAACAAGACTGTCAGGGTTTGAATCCCAATTTTGCCACCCATTTAACTGCCTCCATTTTCTCATCTGCATTGGCATTATTGATTGTTCTTTTTTATAAGCTTGTTATGAGGTTCAGAGTTTGAGTTAATACACGTAAGTGTTAACAACAGGACCTGGCTCACAGTAAGGTCTTAATAAGTGTTCCATGTTGTTACTGGCTGTTATTACATTTAAATATGTTTTACAAAGTGAAGGGTATGCTTCTGAAAACCCTGAGTGGAAGGGCAGGAACAAACCAAACATTAGTATGGAAATTTTTGCTCAAGATCATGTCAGGCTTCTTCCCCAAAATCCAAATCCTGTTTTTTTTAAACCCCAAACCCATGCCTCTTGTGTGTGTTTTGAATCAAGGTGACTGGCTGGCCTGGCCTTACTTAGTGAAGTGCTTGCAGGAGAGAGCAGTGCAGTTCTTTCAAAGGATCACTGACATGCAGGAGGAGCTGGACGCCTAGATGATTTATGCTATTAGTGCTTTGGGGAGTAAATTGAATTGTGGTAACTTGTATTTCTGGTGTGGTGGGGGAGGGTATTAACTTATTTGTGTGACTATAACATTTTCTCAAAGTGATACTAAAAACTTTTTTTCCCTACCTCATAGCATTTATAGATAACAACTAAACCATTTACAGTACCAGCCATGAAAACTTCTAGTTTGGCGGAGGTATTGTTTTAGAGGTGTTGGGATTCGGCATACCTTAATCTCGTGCCCTTTGACTCCTTGTTTTGTAGGAAGCCTGCGGTCTTGTAGTTCTTCGGATTGCTTCAGTAAAGTGATGCCGCCAAGGAAAAAGAGAAGACCTGCCTCTGGAGATGACTTATCTGCTAAGAAAAGTAGACATGACAGGTACGGTGCAGACAGTAGGTCAGAACTGATGGCACTGGTGTCATAGAAGCACGATGCTGCCTCATCCATGTGGGTCTCGCTAAGTGTACAGATGCCAACTGGAATATTGTTTTGGTTCTGCGTGGCAAACTTTCAAGGTGTAGTTATTTCATGTCACTTATTTTATGCATGGGTTTATTAAAAAAAAAACACATTAGGTATTTTGACTTATTAGAAATTACAGTTTGATCTTAATCCACTGATCCACCCAAACTGGTGTTGACTTCCTTGCCTTTTACGGGCTTGCTGTGTGTGCCTGCAAAGGACCTCAGCATTGGTATGTGTCTCACTGAACACCACTACAGGAATCTCGTAATTGCCTCTGCAGGGGACCGGGCTGAGTGGCCAGAAGGCGGCCTGCACTGATTGCTCTCAGCCTGCCGGGAGTATTAGCTGGGCTGAGGTTTATTCTTAGAAGAGTGAGGATTTGTTAGAAATGGTTTTGGTAGATTAATTTTTTTAACCACCTCTCTTTCAAACAAATGAACTATTAATTTCGGTAACTCCAGAGGTCTGTTAGACTTGTTTATTTTAGGCATCATTTTTCTTCTCTTTTTAAAACAGGCAACAAACATCAGTTTTAATCCTTTCTGCCTTTTTCCATCTTTGTTTATTCAAGCTCTGTAGATCATTTCACCAAAGAGCCTGAATTCACATCTATAAATCAAGGAGTTTAGATGAGACTTCTGTTTCTTTCTTGCTCTGATACTTAATATGCTATACCTCAGTTAGAGGGATAGGGAGAGGGACTCTGAAAATGTGAAAATAATGTCACTATTCATATCCCAAATGAGTAGAAAATATTACCCAAAAGAAGGTAATAGTGAGTTAGAAAATAATCACAATAATATGTAGACCAATGCTTTTCAGCATTACGAAGCCAGTTACTTTATACTTCTGAGTAGTGTAAATGTGATTGTCAAGAATTGTAAAATTCTAATAATCACATTGCATTTTGGGACTACATATGTTGTTTATTTTTTCATCACGGCCTAATAAAATTTAGGATGATAAAGCCTTTTAAGAACTGCTAGTGGAGTTACAGAAAGGTGTGGGAGACTCTTAATGACAGCATTCCCATGGTCACCAAAGGGAGATAACTCTAGCATTATCTGAGTTTAATTCTTGTTGTTGTTTTTTTCATAACTTTTTGATATATAATGTTTATCCATTTTAAGTGAACAAATTCAGTGATTTTTACTAAGTTGTTAGAGTTGTGCAACAATCACTACAAACCAGTTTTAGAAGATTTCCATCATCTCAGTTAGATCCTCGATGCCCATTCACACTCACTCCCTGTTTCAACCCCCACCCAGGCAATCATGAATCTACTTTCCAGCTCTACAGATTTGCCTTTTCTAGTCATTTTAAATAAGTGGTTTTTTTTGTGTTGCTTCTTTCACTTAGCTTAATGTTATGTTTTGTTTTTTAAAAAAATATATTTTATTGATTTTTTTACAGAGAAGAAGGGAGAGGGATAGAGAGTAAGAAACATCAATGAGAGAGAGAAACATCAATCATCTGCCTCCTGCACATTCCTCAACTGGATATGTGCCTGAAACCAAGGTACATGCCTTTGACTGGAATCGAACCTGTGACCTTTGAGTCCACAGGCTGATGCTCTATCTATTGAGCCAAACCAGTTTGGGCAGCTTAATGTTTTTTGAGGTTCATCCATGTTATGGCATATATCTGTTTTTTTAAAATTTTATAGCTGAGTGGTATTCCATTACCCTTTTTTGTGTAGAGTATATTTAAGCAATTCAAACATTGTCATATATAGATCCCAAAACTCCCTCAGACTTTGAGTTGAGAGAGGAATGTTCAGGATTAGGATAGGAGTATATATATTTGAACCTTTGGACAGTGTCCGTCTTTGTTTCCAGGTATTATGTCTACATTTTATTGAAGAAAATAAAACTGGTGGTATGCAGTTTAAATATCTTCCCATCCTATAACCATGTCCTTTTTTTTGTATTGAAACTAAGAATCTCTAATCAGAGGTATATATAGATATTCTGGTGAATGTGTGGGTCATGAATAAATGCTTATTTTAAAAGAATTACATGATTTTTATATACTATGTAAATAAAAATGATATTCATAAATATTTATATATAACTGTTTAAGCAATCCTATCTAATAAAGGGAATATGCTAATTGACCCTCACACTGTCACAAAGATGGTGGCACCTATAGCCAATAAGGAGGGAATATGCTAATTGACTGCCATGCCCTCAAAGATGGCAGCACCTAATCCCCTCAGATCCCCCAGGTGGACCCGGCCACTCTGCGTGCCTGCCTCCGGAGTCTCCCAGTCTCCTCAGCCCCTCAGCCTCCCAGGGCTGGCCTGAGGCGCAGGCAAGCCTCGGATGTCAGCTGCCCAGCTGCCCAGGGCCAGCTGAGACTTGTGCTGCTGGCAGTGGCAGCAGCAGAGGTGTGATGGGGCGTCATCTTCCCCTGATCGCCAGGTCACCTCCCGCCCTTGAGGGCTCCTGGATTGTGAGACAAGGACAGGCTGGGCTGAGGAGACCCTTTCTCCAGTGCATGAATTTTCATGCACTGGGCCTCTAGTTTATATATAAATGAAGGATAAGTAAAGTATATACTCATAATTTTTCTATCCAAAGCACTATTTGTAAAGATACTGCCTCCTCTTCCCTCCCCAAGTAGGGAATATTCCAGCCCTCAGCTCCAGGTCATTATGAAATAGGAACTTCTTGCCGAAGATCATGGGTTGAAGGAGGAGGCTGCTGTGCTTTCAGGTTCAGTTTTCCAGCTTATTCTGGCTGTTTGCACAGTAGTAGGGAATGATGAGAAAATGGCAGAAGCCAGGGCTTCTCTAAAATTTTCCCTAGGTTTTTAAGGTTATCCTAATGAAGAAACCATTCAAGAAACTTTGTGTGATCAACTATACACCTTTTTTTTTTTTTTTTTTTTTTCCTGGAGGCTTGAACATAGTTTGATGTTTCTTTTTATTTTCTTATGTTCCCTCGAGGTATCTTATATTGACAGGTTCTTCCTTACGCTGTGCTCTTTGCCCAGCCTGACTCATAAGGCACAGAAGTCAGGAGAACCTAGTGTAGACAGGAGTGAGTCGTAGGGTCATCAATTGAAGAAAACACCATAGACATTTCTTGCAGTATCTCACTGTCATTCTGTACTTAGTTCTGGCTAGTAAGGTAGAAGGGGATCTATAAAATACCTGTTCTCTTCAGTTCTTACTGATGATTTGTTAATCAGAGAAAACCTTACGTTAAGTACTTATTTAATTCTGTATTGGGTGTGACTGTTTAAAACTATAGTTATAAAAGCTTAAGCTTCTAAATTCAGGAAGCAAAATACTTAAAATATGCTTGAAATATGGATAAAATAGATGTGTGGTTTGGGTAAGTGAATAAAATCTATCTGCTACTTAAAAAGAACTCAGAATCTTTACTTTAAATAACTTAAAACTGCTTTCTCAATTTCTAGCATGTATAGAAAATATGATTCAACTAGAATAAAGACTGAAGAAGAAGCTTTTTCAAGTAAGAGGTGCTTAGAGTGGTTCTATGAATATGCAGGTAGGTAATCACTTATATCATCTTAGACTGATCCTCCTGAAAGCAGGGACTACTATAGAGAAGATTAGGAATTGTGTACTTTTCAAATTTGGTGTGTGTATGTGTGTGTGTGTGTGTATGTGTGTGTGTCCCTGTTTAAAGGAGAGAACATCATTTATACAAATCAAATGTCCTATTTATAGCCAGCTGCTAAGCCAAAGAATTCAGAACATTAGAAGCAAACTGAAAAGATGAAATGCACTTGGGAGAAGTACTTTGGATTGCTAGGAAACCTATTCAGATGCTGGTAATGGGTGATTATTTGGTTTACACATTGAAGTTAAAATAAGCTTTGCTGCTTTGAACCATTATGCAATGCAACAGAATTTCTTACATTAAATGTCTCTATTTTGAAAGATCATTTGGCAGAAAATGTTTGTTTTGTCATTTAAATGTGTTAAATTCAGTCCCAGTTTTGCAACTTAATATAATTGCTTGGCTGGTGTAATACTGAAATCTAAGGTTTGGTTGTTTTTGTGGCTGTGTATGGTGTAAAAGAAAGAAAGAAAAATTTTCAGACAAGTTTGAGCTGGAGGTTCTTTTTATCATTCCTATTTCTAACTTATTTCCTATCAACTTCACTCTCCCAGCATCCTTCAAAGCTACATTCCTGTCATCAGTCCATTCCGCCCAGCCCCACTTCACAAATCCATGCTACCTATGGATAAAAGCACTAGTTCCCTGCCAGCCCTTTGTTTGGAGTGCTTTTCTCCATTTTCCCATCTGGCAAGATGCTCTATAACTATAAAGCCCCCTTATTAGCCTAATAGCCCCTGTACTTCTCCAGGACATTGTTCATCACTAGTTCTGATACCGTTTTACTGGGTATTAAAGTGAGGATTCCTCCCATGGCCTGACACCCCCCGCTCCCCTTTTGCCTTGCCTCTTTTGGCCACAGAGATTGTTCCAGGGGCTGACAGGTAATTCAGGCCTGGCCAGTCAGACAAAATTTTCTGGGATTATCAGGAAGTGGGAGACGAATCTTTATCTTCTGGTGTGGACTTGAAAGGATGTGATACTGATTCCTATGGTTCATTGAAATTTCATGAACTACCCCAATGTCTTTCTAGTGAGTTCACCTTCATTACTTGAACTGGTTTCAGCTAGATTTTCTTTGCAGGGCATGGACACTAGTACAAAAACTTAATGTTAGACTTTATCTGTTTTCACATTTATGACATAAGGACAAGAATCTCTTGAAGACATTTTGTCTTCCTAGTAAAGTGTTTGAGCCCTGGGCTCAGTGGATAGAGTGGCAGCCCACACACCAAAGAGACTTGGCTTCGATTTCTAGTCAAGGGCACGACCTGGCTTTGCAGATTTGATCCTGCCCTGGTTGGGGTGTGTTCAGGAGGCAACTAATCGATGTGTCTCTCTCACATCTCTCTCCTTCCTACTCTCTGTAAAAATCAATGGAAAAAATACCCTCTGGTGAGGATTTTAAGAAAAGAAAGGCACTTTTCCAGGTGTTTGGTACATGAATGCTGAATGAATGAAGAAGAATTTTGACTATGAAAATCTTTTGCTTTCTTCTTGGCTTACAGTTGTTGTTATGAAATGTATTATAAACAGAATATTTTAAACATAAAAAGAACACTTAATCCCACCATCATAGCACAGCTATTTTGATTGTTGTGTGTGTCTTCCTTTACAAGTAAGCATAAATATTTCCATAATATAAGCCCCACTTCTGTTTTCTTTAAAAAATTACTCTCTTATACTTAAAAAGAGAGCGAGCAGGCTACAATTTTCCTTCTTGTTTGCTTTTCCCTGGCCCAGAAAGATGACATTTGGGATAAAGCTTAAGCCACATTCTTTAGGTTCCCTGAGATCATGGCTGGCTGGTTCCTGGTAGTCCATTCAAAAGGAGTTTGGGGGGCGGGAAGGGGGTTGGCTAGCTCTATTTTTACACCTGCCTCCCTCCTTTTCCTTCTTTTTCTGTATCTTATCAGTAGGGAAAATGGTTTGAAATTGGGAATAATTTAAAAGCTTCAGGTGGCATCTTTTTCCCTTTTAAAATCCCAACTACACGAGTAAAAACTATAAGTCAGTATTATTCAAGGATGACTTACTGGTTGTGCTGCAGAGTGAGTCCGTGGGAGGCCATCTGTATGAGGAGGGCTTTCCCGCCGGTGGTGTGTGCACTCTCACTAGGAGCCAGCAGCTGGTTCGGGCTGATTCCTGTGCTTTACTCTGGAGAGGAGTGGAGGGGCAGCGGGGGCCTTGGTATGCAGCTGCTTCCCATGGATGGACCTTCCATTCTTTCCTGAGCTGTCTGTTTCACGCCTCACTTTGCTGATGCTGTCCATGGCTTCGCAGCTTGAGCCTTGCTCTTAAGCTCCTGCCTGGCCAGTTAACCCCAGCACGTTCTAGGATGTGGACTAAATCACTTTAAAATGGGAGGGAAAGTGGGAGGACCACTTTTTTCTAGGTTATTGTTAGTATGTCTGCCTTCGAAATATATCTCCAGAATCTATCTCCTGGGCATTCCAAGGCTCATTTTATTTTTAATTTTTAAAAAATATATTTTATTGATTTTTGTACAGAGAGGAAGGGAGAGAGAGAGAGAGTCAGAAACATCGATGAGAGAGAGTCATCGATCAGCTGCCTCTTGCACACACCCTACTGGGGATATGCCCGCAACCAAGGTACATGCCCTTGACCGGAATCGAACCCGGGTCCCTTCAGTCCCCAGGCCGACGCTCTATCCACTGAGCCAAACCGGTTTCGGCTCCAAGGCTCATTTTAGATATAATGGTTTTTTTAACCCATCTTCCTCAAACTCCACTTCCAACTCTTTGTGTTAGTCAGTGGCATATTTGTTAGAATGCGATTGCTCAATTCTGCAAGGGAATTGATAATTCAGTATAAATATAACAATAATCCCAATGAACAATGTGATTACAGATAGATCTAAATAAGTTCATGAGAAAGATTAATGAGATGAAAAAAGAAGTTCTTTTAGATAGCAGGATTATGAGTAGCTTTTTAATGTTAATTGACAAGCTATATTTTAGGTTTTTTAGGATAAAATAATTACTTTTGGCAGGTCATGCCATTACAAATCCTACTGTTGAAAACGTGTTGCTCTTTCAAAACACACAGTGCAAATGTATATAATTAATACAATAGTGGCATTGCATAAAATGTGGGAAAAGGAAGAGCATGGATAATTAACATTCCTGCACAGTGTACATCAGCAGACCTTTCTTTGAGGGCTTGCCATGTGCCAGTCTCGGGGGTGCAGTGAACAGAAGCACTGTGCTCATTTTCTAGTGTGGCAAAAGGACAAACTGAGAAGCATCATCTTTGTAATGAGTATTGACCGAGTGGGGGCAGTAACCAGGAAGGAGGGAACAAGAGGTGGACAGCAGCCTGGAGACTCCCAGGCCCTAGGGCACAGGCACGGGCTGGCCAGGCTCAAGAATAGGTTACAATGAAAGAGCTTTTTATTAAATCAACAAAAATGGAAACCAAAGAGACTTAAAAAGAATTAAAAAGTAACTTTTTATTTTTAGCTCTATGCAACCACCTTCAGTGAGTCCTATTGGCAAATAACAAAAAGGCATCTTTTCTTAAAAATAAAACCTCTTAGCAAAATAGGGACAGATGGCTATTTCCTTGTGAGAATAATTATTATTTTACCTTACAGCCTAAGTATTTTTATAGATGTAGAATTATGAACATACACACACAGACATATTACATACAGTGTGTCTGCTAACAAGAACAAAGTAAATGCATAGGTACTCTCATAGGAAGATTATCAGACCTACTTAACGAAAAAAGGAAGATGTAGAATTTATAGATATAGCATGAATCCAGGTGTATAGATAAATTTAAAACTGCATTTTATTGTGTATTTGCACATACATGAACATATAACAGAAAGGTCTGGGAGAATACACACCTAATTAACAAGGAAAGGGAGAAGGCAGGTTTTTTCTTTTACTGTATTTTACTCAGTCTTTTTCTATTTGAACATTTTACCGTGTGAACATATTAATTAATGTCTTCTTGGTATAACATGTACATGAATGTGTGCATTTAGGTTCTCAAACCTAAAGCTTAGCAAGGTATCAAATGATAAAAATGCTCACTGGATTCACATTTGAGTCAAGAATGAGTTAAGAAATGTTATTTGCCATTGTTTTGTAAGTTACTACATAATGTTGTAGGTAAGAGAAAGAAAGAAGGGGCATAAATATTGCAAAGGAGGAGACAAAGATGATTATTTCTTGGAGATGAAATTATTAAATTATTGTATACCTGGAAAGCCAAAGAGAATTGCCGGGACAAATTTAGAAACAGCAAATAAAGATGTATGTAGAAACTTGGTTTGGGAAGGATTCTTAAAGGGATTTTTTAAATAAATGGTTGTTTCTGGAGAGTATGGAGGGATTAGAGGGGAAACTTTTCCTTTTTAAATATTTTAATTTTTTGCTTTCACTTTTAAATGAGATTTTTGTCTCGTGTTTATATGTTAATAGAGCAAAAAATAAATAAGTAAACTTTTATTTGATACAATAACTTTTCCTCTAACAATCAAATTTAAAAAGTTGGGAATACATAGAAAAATATCTAAAATAAAAGGAGAAAAATAATTATTAGAAAAAGTTTTAGAGGGGGACAAGGCTCTGGAATTAGGGTGATCCTGAAGAGATTGCTGGGGTAACAGTGAAAGGATAGAGCCTGAATAGGTCAGTGCAGGATGGGTCCAATTAAGACATATTTGGAAGGAAAGATTTTGAATATTGATTGGCTGCAGAAAGTGTGTAAGGGAAGGATCCAGCATGACTCCCAGGTTTCTATTTCTGGTGGTGCAAGCAGCTGAGATAGAAGACAGGAGGATAAGCAGACTTGACCTGGAGAGATGATGGGCTCAGTGAGGTGGTGGTAGAAAATGTGAAATGCAGGAGTAGTATTTGGGGCAGAAGATGAGTTCAGTTGTGTTAGTTAAAGAGAAGATGATGTAGACAGCCCAATAGTCAGGGGGAAAGTGTGGCTAGAAAGAGATCTTGGTAGTAGTACCTGAAACCTTAGATAGGTTGAAATTTCCTAGGGAGAGAATATAGAATGGATTAGGAAAGGTTTAAGAATGGAACTCTGCATATCGTATTTAACAAGTTGGGAGAAGCAAAGGACCCAATCCATAAAGAAGCCAAGGAGGAGAGGGGGCAAAACCAGATGAGAGAGGGCACTTCCAGAAGTGGTGGGAAGAGACAAGTTTTGTGAAATGGTCAGGTATCACAGAAAAGTCCAGCAACATAAAGATGGACTGTTACATCTATTACGCTTGACAAGTATGGGGTTATTAGTGACTTTGCAGGTAACCTTATTTTTACACATAAATTATGTCTATCATATGTCCATAGGTTGAGGGACATGGCAGTGATTTGACTTAAATGATTGTGCAGAGTAGATTCCTTTAAAGATATGCCAGAATATTTTTCAATTTATACTTGATGATTTCTTTCTTCAGAAAGGAATTCTAGCCCTTAATTGTTATTTGATTTTAGTTTACTTGGGTAGTAAATATTTTGACAATATCATACTATCACAGTAGTACTAGTGCACATGATTAGATTTAATTTATATAAGATTGCATTTCCCCACAGGTACTGATGATGTTGTAGGTCCTGAAGGCATGGAGAAATTTTGTGAAGACATTGGTGTTGAACCAGAAAATGTAAGTCTAACTTATTAAATCGAGTCAGTCGGTTGATTATTTTTCTTAAGACTTTTGTCCCTTGACAAATAAAGCAACAATAAAAAAGTAATGATGTGTTGGTTTTTGTGAAGCAATCTAAGAAATAGATTTTAATTCTAATTTGATTTGTAAGTGAAATTTTTTGTTGGTATAGTGTATAGTTATTTTTCTCTCTCACGTTTAATTTCTTGTATCTAAAAGATACAATAATAAGGTAGTTTAACTAGATTTTTGAAAAGTGGTGTGGGCACGTGTACCTACAGTAACAGATCAGCTCGGGGACCGAGGCACAACATGTGTCCCCTTGTCTCCCTCCGTAGTTGTCCCAGCCTAATGTAGTTTATCGAGGACTTTGAATAAGGGTTTTGAATAGGTTGTAATTATCAAGAATTTTTCATAGGTCTTTCAGTTCCATTTTAATTTACCTCAGAAAGTGATTGCTTTTTAGTGTAAAGGCCCTAAGTACTTCCCTTTAAAAGTTTAATTAGAATTTATTTTATATGCTTATTTTTGCCTAATTTTTATCACCATGTTATTGTTTTTTGTGTGTGTGGTTTTTTTCCACTGTTTAATGTGCTCTTTTTTTATTTATTTTTTTACATATTTTATTGATTTTTTTTTACCCCCCCCCCCCCTTCCACACATCCCCTCCCTCCCCAAAGTTTTATGTCCATTGGTTGTACTTATATGCATGTATACAAGCCCTGCGGTTGTCACCATGTTATTGTTGAATATTTTTTCCTGTTCCCACATCTACTCTCTTACACTAAAATGAAAAATTGTGCTCATACAAATGGCCTGGATCATTAACTGTGCAGCTGAATATTAATTGGCCTCCAATTTTAACAAATATACCTTAGATCCTAAATGAATTTATGGCCTGAAAGTGATTCATCCCCTTCCTTCAGACTATTTGCAGGATATCTGGTGCCCTTGCATATATGTCACGCTCTTAAAGAAAACTAGAAATTGAGACTTCACACTTTTTTATTAAAACTTTTCTTTTTTTATCCTTACCATTTCTGTGCTTTTCTTCTCCACGCCCGCTAATAACATTTTCAGTTTTCTAAAGAGCCTTTGGAATGCTGTTAACTTTATTACATGGATTTTTGTCTTGTATTTTAAAATTTAATGTGATCGAGTTCAGGTATCTAGATAAATTATTCAGCTTGGCATAAAGGCTTAGGGACAGCTGGGTCAGTAGTATTTTGCCTGATCTGGTCCATAGACACTCAGACATAGAAAGTAACATTCTCCGACTTGAAGAAGGACATGTACTGATGAGAGCTGGGTTGAGGCGGGCAGCGTGTTTTTCGAACAGTCTGAGTGAGCTGGGCTTGAGAGGGGCTACAGAGATTCCACCAGAGGATATAAGTCCCTGTCTGATCGGAGGAATGGGCAGCAGGGCCAGCGGGGAGGAGGTTAGGAGGCTGGGGTCGGGCTGCATGTGTTAGAGGGATTGTGTGAGCATTTATACTCAGAGGTGGAAAGGCCTGTTAGGGTGTGAGGGAGTGCTGATGTTGGTTCTAAGTGAAAAAGGGGGTCCTCGGCTCTCCAAAGTTCCTCACCTCCAAGTGCCAGTATTCAATAAGAGAGAGCTGTTCTATCACTCCTTTTGGGGCAGTAATGATCCTTTAGCTCTCTTTCTGTAAAAATAGTCTTGAAATGTTGAATCATGTACATTGAAGACTGACAGACTGAATTTAGAATATTTTAAAGTACTTATCATTGTACTTCAATTCTAAGATGCTACTAACAGAAGCTATATAAGTTATATCATCACTAAGAAAGAAAAAATTGCTAAATAAGCACAGACATGCCATTAATTGGGGAAACATTACAATTTCAGAAATATTAACATTTGAAAAATGTTATTCCCTCAGTCTACACTATGGCAAATTTTTTTTTTAAAACGCCATTTGCATCAATGAGTAAGCACCTTAAAGTACATAAAACTCTCACCTTGCCTGATATTTTATAGCTTATAGAGTTTAAGCAGGTTGTAAAATTCATGCCTACTTTCATTTACTAAGGGAACAGCAAGATCTTTTATTTAAGTAGTTAGCTTTCTTATAGGCTATTAAAAGAAGAGGTCTATTTTGTGTAAAGAAATCCCCATGGTGAACGTGCACTTTGGTAGGTCAGACACATGTCATGTGTACTGTCTGTGTTCTTGTGCCGTCACCATTTTAACATGTTTATGTGGAATTTTAAAAAAATCTTCCTAATAGAGGATTGAATATAGATACTGAGAACATACCAAATTTGAATTTAAAAATGTGGGTTAGTTCAAGAGAGGAGGAGAAAATCCTCTAATGTGTAAATATTTTAAAGAACATATAACTTTTTCTTTTGGGGGAAATACTCCTAAATAGCCCATTGTTCTCTTAAGCTACTATTTTTAACCTATTTACCAATCATTTTGTGAGATGTACATAATAATGTAGAAGCATTGGCTTCCTAATCAGTCCTCATAATCTACTTAGTAATCTAGATTTTCAAAATCTAAAACTCCTAGTGACTTTAAAAATTGATATGTACTGATTTAATTAATATTTGATGAAAGGAAATTTTAAACAGAAAAAGTACACTCAATCCTGCCATCGTAGTACAGCTGTTTGATATGTTTACTAGTATATGGTGCCCCCAGAAAAGACGGCCCTGCTTCTCCTCCTGGGCTCCGTCCAGGCATAGTGCTATTGATGTGGGCCACTGGGCTACTTTAAAATAATTCCCCAGTCTGTACAGTTGAATTTACAAACATGTATTTGTGATACGGCTCCACTCTCTGTGTCTCAGGTGTGTGTCCCAACACCCACCTTTTTATTTTTTCACTCTGTTCTGCACCTTGCTCTTTTCATTTAATAAATCTTAGAATTGTCCCCTTTTTGTACCCATAACTCTACTTTGTCATAATGGGGCATAGTATTCCTTTATGTGGAATGTATTTAGCAAAGAAGCATGCAATAACTAGTCCCTTATTTATAGATGTTTGTTTACAATCTTCTGCTTCTACAATAGTACTTGTGGTCAGCATTATTGAATGTACATGTAATGTGTATATGCAGGTATATCTACAAGATAACTTTCCGAAAGTGGAATTGCCGAGTCAGTTACTGGTTTTAGTTTTGATAGGCACTGCAAAATTGCCCTCTGAGAAGGTTAATCTCTTTACACTTTCACCAGCATGCATCATAAGAGTTTGTGTTCCTCCAAACCCTTATCAGCAGATTGAATTGTCAAACTTCTAGGTGTTTGCCAATCTGTAACTCATTTTTGAAGTTACTCTGCTCATATTTCAGTGACTACACTACCATGAACAGAAGCATTTAATGAGATGTTAATGTATTTAATTGCTGAGGTCTGTGGTTCTGATTTGATTGGGCTTTCTTTCTTTTTTTTTTAAACAGGTAGTTATGCTTGTCCTAGCTTGGAAATTGGATGCACAAAATATGGGTTATTTTACTCTACAGGAATGGTTAAAAGGAATGACTTCTCTACAGTAAGTCCTAAGACTGTACTGGGGGGTCACTATTCTCCCAAGCTGCAGCCTCCTCCCTGAGATCCAGGGAGCCTGGGTTGGGTGACTGGATGAAGGCCAGCTGATCTGGGCAGGCTTCTACGGGGGCCATGGGTCATTTTTATGTGAGGAGGAGGGCTTTATGGTTGAATTTTAGCAATTAAAGTTTTTATGTGAGTATATATTATTTATTTTTGTATTCTTCTAGAGCAGCTGTACCCAGTAGGAAATAGACTAGCCTTTTCTTATATATGTGAACCAATATGTAATGAAAAATTTCCCAATAGCAACATTAGGAATGTGTAAAAAGAAACAGGTAAAATTAATTTTAATACATTGTATTTAACCCAAATTATTATTCTAGCATGTAATAAATAGTTTAAAAATCAATGAGCTATTTTACATTCTTTTTTTTTTTCCATAGTAAATCTTCAAAATGTGATGTGTATTTTACATTTATGATACATCTCGATTCCCATTAGCTGCATTTCAAGTGCTCGGTAGCCATATGTGTCTAGTGGCTCCTGGATTGAACAGCCCAGGGGTAGAGCTTAAACAGCAAAGGCTTATTAGAGTCTGGTTTATACTTAGTAAGAAAAAGTTGAGAAGAATGTAACTTATAAGTGAAAATGTTTGATATCTTCTATTTTATATATTCTGGGTTAGCTTAGGGCAAAATTGGAACTTCATTACTCTAGTGATTAAAAAGTAGTAATAATAAAGATTCTGTTATCTGACCAGAATAAGAAAAAAATCAGTGGTTTTATGTGTTCCCTTTGTGCTTATGTGTATTTGTGTGTGGTGTGTCAGTGGATGTATGTGTGTGTGTTTGCTAAGAGTTTCATTCAAGAAAACAAATTGTTATTCTACGTTATACATTGAAGGACACAGTTGAGGTGGATGACTAAACATTTCAAATGGTTGGAAGATGCATAGCTGTAATCTAGAGTACTTAGAATAACTTTTCCTTTTCACTTTAACTGGGAATAAGACTTCAATTTTTATTAGATTAAAATTGGAGTTGAAGTGGTTTTAAGTAATTTTGGAATTTTTGTCAACTTTTAGCGTCATTGTCCATTTATTATTGATAATAATGCTTATTAGCATTGCACTTAAGTAGTTTACGAAGCCTTATCACTGTTTTCCCAAGTCTGACAGATCAGACTTGAGCCTTTTGCACTTTACAAATAAGGAAACTGAGGCTCAGAGGGAATATGTGATTTGTGAAAGTAAGTGGCAGAGATGGCAAGAAAATCCAATACTTCTGATTCTGAAGTCATATTCTTCTTCTAACAACTGTTGGCAGATGGCAAATAAGTTTTAGGTAAAACAAATCACCTTTTTACAAATCCATTTTCCTCTCAGAATATTCTAGTATTTTAGGGTTAAGTCTCTGAAATCTCTAAAATTGTGTTGTTATGTTGGCAACTGCTCCTTATGATTTTAAGCCTTCACCTCTTTCATTGTGTTCCTCACTGCCTTTCTTTGTGGCTTTCTGAATAGGGTACATCGTGATGGCTGCTCATTTGTCCTTTTTTATTTTTTAAAAAAATATTTTTATTGATTTCAGAGAGCGAAGGAGAGGGAGAGATAGAAACATCAATGATGACAGAGAATCATTGATCAGTGCCCCCTGCACTGGGGTTTGAACCCACAACCTGGGCATGTGCCCTAATTATGAATCGAACTTTGACCTCCTGGTTCATAGGTCGATGCTCAACCACTGAACCACTCCAGCTTTGTTCATTTCTTTTAAGAGAGTATAATATCCATTTTTTTAAATATAGCTTTAGATTCTTTTTACATTTGCCTTTACAAAAAAATATTACATGATGCCAGGCCTTCCCATGTGTTTTGAAGGCCTCACCACCTGGGAATTGAAATAGGCAGTTTCTGCAAGAGGCTTTCCTATAGGTTGGGGGTGGGGAGCACTTCACAGGCGTTTTGTTGAGGACTCTGCTTGGTGGCAAGTGGGTTCCTGTAAAATGCAGGGCGTTGTGACAAGCCTGATCCTCTCAGGGTGCTGAGGAATCTGCTTCCTTTTTGTGATATGAAACGCTTGAGACTGGTTTTCTCATCAATGAAGTTAAGATAATTACTCAGAATAATCTGTAAGTAGTTAAAAAAATAGACCAACTTCATGTTTTAAGAACCCCTCTCCCTCTTCCTTCCAGCTTCCCTAGACTTATTATTTGTTCAGCAAATATTTGAATGACAGTGATGTGCCAAGCACAGTATTCTAGGTTCTGTGGAAACAAAACCCATGAACAAGGCAAAGCCCATTCAGGGTTGGGGCTTAAAAGCAATGTTCAGACAAAAGTAATAACGTTATTTCTCTTTATGCTACTTGAATTAACTTAAATAAGTTCTGTCTTTGTAAGGTGTGTGCACTCAGTAAATAAAAAAACTCAAGCCAAAAAAACAAACAAAAAAACTCAAGCCAGTCATTCATATGCTCTAAATGGAAACTTTTGCCCTGAAACTGGATTTAAAGTGTGTATATAATAAAATATGTAGTCATTAGTGTCTATATACTAGTATATATTTGATATTAATGCTTTTTTAAAAAAAATTGTTGCTGTATGGTGGAAATGTATTAGAAATAACCCATGGGTTTTGGAATCAGATAGTTTTGAATCAGTTCAGCCACTTCCTGGGTGTCTCTGGTAGCATTTCAAAAATGAGGAAGGTAAAGTGAAGAAATGTGGCATATACTTGGGCACTAAGAAACTAGCCTTGACTCCTCTCCTTGATACTGTTTAGACAAGAGTTGTGGGTGTGGCCTCTCTGGTTGGGAAGAAATGACAGCAGCTGATAGAGAATGTCTGTCCTCAGGCTCCCTAAGCCATTCTCAGTCAGGGAAGGCACAGCTCTTGTTTTAATTGATGGTTTATTTATTGCCTTGTTCCAACATGCGTTAAGGCTACTGCTGATGAATTAAGCTTTATAGCACCAATTTTCAACCAGTGTACCACAAGAATTTTTAAAACATGGAATATCTGACTATTTAGTCAGAGGCACTGACCTCTTTTCCCTTTGATTATCAGATTTAAAAATGACAACAAACAATACAACAATAGCTCCCCATTGTGAATGAATCAAAATTGTATCTAATTTTTTCGTCAGATTGGGGAAAAAAAATAATTTTTGGCATGCCACAGAATTTTAGTCATTAGTTTACATGTGCCGTGAGATGCAAAAGGTTGAAAATTGCTGTTTTGTAGGGATGTTTAAGCTAAAAACAAAATGAATTGTAGAGTGGTAGCTAACTACATAGTACTGATGGTGGGTTGGGAAAATACCTTTGGGTTGACTGAGTAAAGGGGTGAAGGCCTTTTCCATGCAATGGGGGAGAACTTCTTTTCGATTTAAAAACTTTTGAGGATTATTGTCTTGATTTATGTTTATTCCAAATGTGTTTGTGGCAGTGAACATCAAGAAATGATCCCACTGTATGAGCTTGTTTTGTTTGGTAGTAGTGTGGCACTGTCACTCTGCAACATCTGTGTTTTCTTTTCTGGTACACAGAATAGCGGGGGAAAGGATTGAAGATGTGGCTGTGACCTGAAAAATCTCTGCTGGTTGCTTACTTTCCAAGCCTGTTTCCTCGGGCCTTTGTAAGAGCTGACACCTCTGCTGATCTTGTTGAGTGGCCACTAGATGGCAACCTCAGGTTCAGGCCTGGCGACTCGGTGGCCTGTTTCCCAAGTGGTTGGTCCAGAGGGTCTGCCTCACAAAGTCCTTTTTTAAAGCAGATTAAATTCTTTGTTGACAGTATCATCTCTAACCCAGGTAGCTTTCCTTTATAGTATCTTACCTAGTGAAAGAGTAATATGCAAATTGACCATCACACCGAGACACAAGATGGCCACCCCCATGTGGTCAAAGATGGCTGTCCCCATGTGGACACAAGATGGCCATCACAAGATGGCCCACAGGGGAGGGCAGCTATGGAAAGTTAGGGGTGACCAGGCCAGCAGAGGAGGACAGTTGGGGCACGATCAGGCCTGCAGGGTAGGGCAGTTGGGGGGGACCCAGACCTACAGGGGAAGGCAGTTGGGGGGACCCAGGCCTGCAGGAGAGGGCAGTTGGGGGGACCCAGCTGCAGGTGAGGGCAGTTGGGACCCAGGCCTGCAGGGGAGGGCAGTTGGGGGGACCAGGCCAGCAGTGGAGGGCAGTTGGGGGGACCAGGCCTGTGGGGGAGGGCAGTTAGGAGCCAGCAGTCCTGGATTGTGAGAGGTATATTCAACCACCCAGTGGGATTGGGCCTAAACAGGCGGCTGGACATCCCTCAAGCGGTCCAGATTGGAGAGGGTGCAGGCTGGGCTGAAAGGCCCTCCCCCCTCACCCCCGCCATGCACGAATTTCATGCACTGGGCCTCTAATAGATATATAACATTGAAATAATTTGGGTATTTTTACTGTACACTCCAGACAAGCTCTCTGGTCTTTGAAACATAGGGACATCTTTTGCCAGAGTGCTGGACTCACTCCCAGGCATGCTGCAGAACTTGGCATTTTACCTTGCAGCTCTACCCAAAGACTCGGAGCTTCTTTATTTCCTTTTAACTGTGTAGCAGTTGTCTAAACGAGTGCTTCCTGTCCTTGAATCTGTTGAAACAAACAGCTGCTCCTCTTCTCATTGAGCAGGACTGAACTAAATCACTGATCAAAATCTGGCCAATTTCCTGTGGCTTTGATACTTAACTTTCCTTTCCAGTGAAGAGCAGGGACTTTGACCTTATATGTTTTGGAGTTAGCATTGACCCATCCCATGTTATCGATATTGTTTATTTATATACATGGTAATAAATAAAACCACACTACTGTGGAGTGTCCAGTGCAGAGTGAGCTCTGCTTCCACTTATTGCTTTCTTGTGTGTCCTCTCTTTTTACCCTCTATTGTCCCTCCGTTGGGTTCTGGCCCTCCATCTCACATTAGGCTATCAGTTCTCCCCCTTCCTTCCAGAGTGAGCTTTTCAAAGTGCAAGCCTAATCCTGGTCTCTCCTTTGGTAGGAGGGGGCTCCCATTGGTTTGGGGACTCGATGAAAAAAACAACATGTGGGCCCTAGACACACTTTCTGGTCTGGCCCCATCTCCCTTTCAGCCTCATCTCGTACCACTTCCCCTCTTACTCTACCCAGTCTACTTACAGTGGTTTTCTTTTCGTCTTTGCACTTTCTACACTCCCTTCTGCCCTAGGTAGAGGCTGTTTGCACATGCTGTTCCTTTTATCTGGAAAGCCATTCTCTCCAAAAACATACAGTTTCTTTCTTTCAGCTCTCAATTTACATGTTAGTTCCTTAAAGAAGCCATTTCTGACTTCTAAAATAGTCTGATATAGATATATATTTTCTTAGTTTTCAAACATTAGCAAGAAATAAAGAACATTCTGTTTTTGTTGTAGATTCATAAATGAAATATTTACTCATTTTTGGCTTTTAGATATTTTATATTTAGCTTTCATGAATGTATTGTTAAAAATAGATCAATGTGTTCTATTATGAACTATATTTTCATTTATAAAGTATTCACAATATTTACCTTGATCATACTTGTCATGGTCTATACTTAGTAGTAGGTAAAAGCTCTACAGAGAAACAAGAAAATCTTGAATATTGCCAGGGAAAATAGGGACTCTGGTTCTCATTTTTTAAGGGCTAGATGTTATAAACAGAAAAGTAGTTTGTAAAAATAACCAATTAGTGTACTTCCTTAGAAAAAAATAAACAGTGTGTCACTTCCCTGTAAAAATAAGTTATTGCCACCAGGTCTTTCTAGAGAAATAGCTGATTTCAAGTCTAAGGTAGGAAAAGTACAAAGTGAGCGGAATATCTTGTGCCAGAAAATGAGGATGTGCTGAAAGATTGATTGGGAGCATGTCAAAAGGACACTGGAGCCAGCTTGAAGGGGCCATAGCCCAAATGAGAACAGTTTGTTCATCAAAAAGGATAAAGACACTAGTAGCTTATAATACTGAATAAAAAGCAAAAATCCTTAACACCCCCCCCCCCAAAAAAAAAAAATAAGAAAAGTGTTAAGTAGAGCTCTTCTTTTGAGAAGAATTCCAGCCATAAATATAAAAGCATGATAGAGTTGGAAAAATCACTGATTTGGACCTTCAAATGTAGAATCAATTCAGCCAGCTATCATCAATGGATGGCAAAACCACCAAGTGAAGGTTTTTGAGAAACTAGATTCAGAGCCTTTAGATATCCCACAAACTGTGTACTATTTCAGAGGGAAAAGGATCTTTACATGGGGAATCTGGTGGACACCACCTTATCCAAATGAATCAGCTCAGTGTCACCAGTGATGGGACAAGTGATGTGTCAGCCTCCTCCTGGACAACACCAGGAAGGACATCATGTGTAAGGTTCTTATACATGCTTGACCTAACTATAACTAGAGGGAAATTATCTGACAAATTGAGATTCTGTAAAACAACTAGTCTGATCTCTTTTAAAAAATGACATTTTCAAGAAAGACAGCAAAAAGGCAGGATACCCTTCCATAGATTAAGGAGATACGACAAATAAAAGCAATGCATGAGTCTCAATTGGATCCTGGATTGAAAGAAAGCTGCAGCTATAAAGAAAATTGGGGGAACAATTGGGAAATTGACAATGTGGATTGTATATTAGCTAAGAAAGTCAACATTTATAGGATGTTAAGTGTGCTGATGGTATTTAAGTGTTTAGGGTGTCATTTTGTTGACAATTTGTTTTCAAATGGGTCAGAAAAAAGTGTGTCTGTGAGAGGGCACAAGTGTGAGTGTTTATTGTGAACCAGGGGGATGGGTATATGGATGCTTATTAACTGTTCTTTCATCTTTTCCTGTCCAGTTGAAATTTTTAAAAATAAAAAGTGTAGAAAATATAGGTCATTGTGGATGTGTTCTAACTCCGGAGTTGTTATTCGGTCTTTTGGTATTGTGTTTTTATATCATTGCCCCAATTAAGAAAAAACTCAGGTTATAATTTGCCTTTATTCTGTTTTCTAGATGTGATACAACAGAAAAACTCAGAAATACTTTGGATTACTTAAGATCATTATTAAATGATTCTACAAACTTTAAACTTATTTACAGATACGCATTTGACTTTGCACGGGTGAGTTCTCTGGAGCCTATCCAGATGTTTCCCTCTCCCCTCGCCCCCTTCTGATTGCCTTTTGAGGATTGTTTTACATACTACAGCTAAGAAGTTAAGTATATTACTCTCAGGACGCTAGTTATAATTTCTTTCTACATGTACACTTTCTAAACTGATTCTGAGCACAAATATAGTATGTTGGCACAAAGCTGTAATGGCAGACTTTTAATGGCTCTTTCGATGGTCTTAGACGTAATTTGTAAGTGGGCATGTAATAGATAACAAAAACTGTTCTAAGTATCTCTTAAATAATCTTGGAAAAGCTCTTGTCATGAAACAACAAACCCTCACCGATTGAGTTTTTTGGAATGAGCTAATTACGTAGACCTAATCTATTTTTTACTTTGGGTGTTATATTGTTTTAGAAATCACTTGACTTTTTAAATAAAATTCAAACCTAACCTATTATTCAAACATAATTTCTAATCATTTTGAAAAAGTGATCATATTTTTTACATAGTCTATCAGGTTCAAGTCTGTGTGACAGTGGTTCTATTGGTATGAAATAAAGTTTTATTTTCCAGCCTGATAACCATAGAGAGAATTCTGGGTCACTAGTTAGCATTGTGTTCATTCACACACAATTCACAGCTCATTCAACTGTATTTAAGGATGGTGTTTTCTGTTATGTTTGTGTGTTCAGTGGATTCAGGTGACTAGGCTTTCTTGATTGATTACTTTTTTGTTTTTGTTTTTTTATTTTTGGTAAATCCTCACCTGAGGATATTTTTCCCATTGATTTTTTTTTAGAGAGAGTAGAAGGTGGAAGAAATAAGAGAGAGAAACATTGACGAGAGAGAGATACACATTGATTGGTTGTCTCTCACAGGCACCCCAGCTGGGGCCAGGGATTGAACCTGTAATCCAGGTATGTGCCCTTGACTAGGAATCAAACCCCCACCATTGCATGCAGAGGCCTGTGCTCTAACCACTGAGCATATGGGCCAGAGCTGATTACATTTTTAAATGAATTTTTTATTAAAGCAGAAAACTGAGTTTAAAAAATGATCCACCACCACCACCACCATGCTGATTTTTTCCCACATTTTACCTGCTCTGACGTTGCAAATTCAACACCAAAGAACTTGGTGGCGAATTCTGGTGCATCTACAGTACTTTAGTAGCTTCCTGTGGTGTCTTCACTTGTGAATTTTTGCATTATTGCAACCTTCAAATAAAATGACAATATGCATAGAAATTCTTGTTAGAAATTATATGGTAAAATTCAGCTATAATGTTTTACTGAATAACATTTAAATAGAAGTGGTTTGCTACCAGATGCCTTTAGAGCAGATGCATAGTTTCTAGGATTAAATATTTTGTTTTACATGAGATTTTATTTTCCTTCCATAGTCAGCTATTTCTTATTGTATAGGTCAAAACTTGTTTAGAAGCATTACAACTAGAAAATAGGGCTTATTTTCTAACTTCCCTGTCTGGAGGTCAATTTTTCCCACATGTCCACTGCTTTAGACCCAGGTTCCATTTCATTCCTCCCCGGCTTCCCATCGCAGCCCCAGTCAGGCTCTGGGCCCATCGGCTCCTTTGGTTGCCTCTTCTTTGGTTCTTCTCCCACAGCCTCACTGGTTGGGGCCCTTGTGACTGACTCCTTGCCTGCACTGCTACGCTAGCCTTATTTCACATTCTTCTCATCCGGCATTCACATCAGGAGGCTGTCATTCCCATTCCTTCAGACCAGGGTTTCTCGGCCACCCTCAGCTCACAGGAGCCTTCAGTACCTTCCCTCTGCCTTTGTGCTGCCATGGTGTGGTGCAGTTGCTCCCACAGCACTCTGAGCGACAGACAGGGAATCTCTCAGTCCGCTTCACAGAGGAGGAAAGTGGGCTTCAGAGAATGGAGAAATGGGACCTTGGCCCCATTATCAATCAGCAGTAGACATAGGGTCTGGTTTCAAGTCCAGTCTGCAGGTCATTCCAGGCCCTTAACAGTCCAGTCCCAAGCCTCCTCTCTTAGACGATGCCTGGGTAGTGAAGTTGAATTAGCTGCTGGGTCGCTGAACCTGCCTTTTTGACCTTTCTGCTTTCTGTTTTTTTCCCACTACACCTCTGGCTAAAGCCCTATTTGTACTCACTCAACCCTCGGTATTGTGAGGCTTCTAAGCCCAAGCCACATGCTTCCACTTTCACCCAGCCTTCCTTGCCTGCTTCTTGTACTGGGGGGATCCTGCATTCACTTAGGGGGCATTTCTAGCTCCTCTATCTCCTTGGCTTTGGAGTTTAGGTAAAGGCCTTAATTTTAATTTTAAAATTAAGGCACCATCCCCAGTAACAGCCAGCAGAATTCTTTGCTTTTAAGGAGAGGAACAGTAAATATCAGTGAATTAGGCTGCTTTACGTAATGATGAATAACAGCCACTATTCAGCTAAATTACGCTATAAGATAAATTTGTTACTGAACCCCTCTTTTGATTTATTTTGTTTAGCTCTATCTCGCATGTTTGGAGACACTGTATTTCATTTGCATTCGATTCAAAATAGTTTCCCCTGTGATTTTTTTTTTTTTTAATTTACTCTGGTAATTTCAAAGCATGTTGTTTATGTTCTTTTCCAAGTTTTTAGGATTTTTCCAAATAATCTTTTTTATTATTGATATCTAGTTTAATTCCATTGTGGCAAGAAAGCATGCCCTGTACAATTTAAGCCCACTTAAGTGTGTGGATGCTTGATTTATAGTCCTGAATGTGGTCTGCTGTGATGAATGTTTAATGAGGACCAGAAAAGAAGGAATAGTCTCTGCTGCTCGGCGCAGCATGTCATAGACATCGGTTAGGTCAAGTTGGTGGATTGTGTTGTGCAGTCTTCATTATCCTTATCGATTTCTGCCTACTCCTTCTATCAATTACTGAGAGAGGAATGCTGAACTCTCCGACTATAATATTTCTCCTGTCACTGCTACCGTTATTTTTTGTTTCGTGTATTTTGAAGCTCAGATATTAGGTAGAGATACACTTAGTATCATTGTGTCTTCAGGTAGAGATACACGTAGTATTATTGTGTCTTGAAGAATTGGCCCATTATGAATTGTCTGTCTATCTCTGGTAATATTTGTTCCGAAGTCGATAGCCATCCAGTTTTCTTTTGTTTAAGCTTGCAAGATATGTCTTTTTTTCATCATTTTACTTTTAACTTATTTGTGTCTTTATATTTAAAGCGGATTTCTTATAGATAGCATCTCGGGATGCTTATACCATTTAAATTTAATGTGATTTATGGTATGGTTATGTTTATATCTCATATCTTGCTATTTTTCCCCACATACACACATTTGTCCCATATGGTTTTAGTTTCTTTTTTCCTCTTTTTATGATTTCTTTTGGGTTGAGTTTTATTTTATTTTTTTATGATTTTCTTTTATTTCCACTATTGCCTTGTTAGCTATATATCTCTCTCTTTCATTTTTCTTGTGGCTGCTATAGGCCTTACAGTATGGATCTTTAAATTTTCAGAAGTTTCCTGCAAATAATAATTTACCACCTTATGCATAATGCAAGAACCTTTGCAGCAGTATGCTTTTATTTTGCTCTCCTGTGCTTTTTGCTGTTATTGTCATACATTTTACTTATACCTATGCTGTAAATCTGACAATATATTATATTAGTCTATTCAGGCTGTCCTAACAAATACCAGGGAATGAGTAGTTTATGAACAACAGAAATTTATTTCTCACAGTTCTTGGAGACTGGGAAGTCTAAGACAAAGGCACCAACTGGTCAGACAGATTATATGTCTGGTGAGAGCCAGCTCGCTGTAACCTTACAATATCCCAAGGGAGGCGGGGTCTCTCCTGGGTCTCTGTTATAAGAGCACTCATCACATTCATGAGGCAGAGCCTACTTGGCTCCCAAGGCCCCACTCCTAATACCATCACTCGGGGGTTAGGATTTTAACATGAATTTCTTTTTTTAATATATTTTTATTGATTTCAGAGAGGGAGGGGGAGGTAGAAAGAGAGATATTATAGAAACATCAATGATGAGAGAGAATCATTGATTGGCTGCCTCTTGCATGCCCCATTCTGGGGATCGAACTTGTAACCTGAGCATGTGTAATTGACCGGAATCAAACTTGGGACCCTTCAGTCCACAGGCCAATGCTCTATCCACTGAGCCAAACCAGCTAGGGCTTAACATGAATCTCTTATAGATACCATATAATTGAGTCTGTCTGACAAGATCTGTCTTGAGATGCTTAAACCATTTACATTTAATGTAATTTATGGTATGGTTAAGTTTATATATTCTATCTTGCTATCTGCGGGGGAGCGCCCCCCCCCCCATTTGTCTCAAACATTTAGACCATAGTATCATTTTGGTAAAAAAGTCTCTTATGTTTACCCAAATATATATCATTTCTGTGCTCTCCGTTTCTTTTATATAGATATAGATTTCTATCTGACATCATTTGCCTTCTGCCCCCAAATTTTTCTTTAACATTTCTCATAGTACAGATCTTTCGATGATGAATTCTCTAAGTTTTTATATTGTCTTCAATTTAGAAAAGTACTTCTCTGGGTTAAAGATTTTTTTAGTACCTTAATGATATTGCTCTATTGTCTTCTGTCTTGGGTAGCTTCTGATGATAAGTCTTAGTGTTGTTCATTATTCCTTTGAACAGAACGTCTTGTTTTCTGACTGCTTTTATTCTCTTCACTGCTTTTCCCAAGCTGATTACAGTGTGCATTGGCATAATTTTTTTAATGTTTATTCTGGTTAGGGCTTGTTGAAGTTTTTTGATTTGTGGGCTTATAGTTTGTATTAAATTGGGAAATTTTTCAGCCATATTTTTTTCTTTTCTATATAAAAAATATATTTTTATTGATTTCAGAGAGGAAGGGAGAAGGAGAGATGGAAACATCAATGATGAGAAAATCATCGTTTGGCTCTTTCTTGCCACACTTTCTACTGGGAATTCAGCCCACAATCTGGGCATGTGCTCTTG